GGTCACCAAACGCTGCTTGGGTTGTTAAAGCGGTTGCGGACACGTAATGCACCATCTGGAATTATAAGAATAATAAAATGTAGAATTGAAAAAAGAATCAAATGCAATTTATAGATGGTTGATCTACGCAATGTTTTAGGTAAATCACAGAGAAAATAAATCCTTTACCTGCGTAAAAGGTAGAGGTTCGGACGTAGCCTGACACGCGCCACAAACGGACTGTTCGACTAGCATCATGGCGAACTTGCGGTGGGGGACGCAGTGAGGCGCTCTACAGGCGTCATCGTCTCTCTTGTCGCCGGCGGCGGCTACGTGTGCGTGTACTCTGAGCAGGAGGTGCTCGAAGCACTCGCTGGCGTCGGCCATGCAGCCCAGCTGGAAGCGGGAGCCGCCGCCCAGCGCGCGCCGCAAGCTGTCCGCAGCGGGCGCACGCTCCGCAGACCATTGCAGCTGAGCGAATAGCTCCTGTAGACAAATAAAGAAATGTATTATTGACAGCAAACTTTGATAAATAGATGAGGTCTATGAAATAACAATTACTGCCGCATTCAGAGATGGTTGACTTTCCGCAGTATATGTAATTCTAGTATGAGAAATCTATACTAAGAGCTAAGGGAGTTCATTAGTAAACGATTACTGACTATGTGGCAGTAAATCAAATATTTAATGTACGAGTTTTAAATACATGTAATCGTTGTTCTAAAACTATTCGTGTGTGCGTTGAATACACAGACTACGCCAATAATTTCGAGAAATAAGTACCTTTGTCTAAGAAAAAAAAATGGTTAATACAAATAATAAACATAACCGTAAAGAGTATTCGCATTGATTCGAAGAAAGGCCTGCGAAGGAACATACTACGGCGAGTTAATCAAATTCGAGAAGAAAGCACTGTTTCACAGTAGTTGTATAAATTCATACCTTATTTCTATGCTGTAAAAGATGAATTTCTCATAACAACGATGTTGAGGCTAAAGAAAAAACCAGTATGGCACGAATATTATAGGTCAGAAACAAGGCATGACCCGGCCGAGATCATGCGACGTAGTTTGTAAAAACGGGTCTCGTACGACAGTTTTCGTTTGTTTCGTAATGTTTGCTTTTGGATACGGCGTTTATGGACTTGTGATATTTACTCTATGTATCCTGGATATGATAAACAAAATACACGAACAATTTGTTGTTCGTTGTTTGTCATTTGGGAGAAAACGATGCTACTTACTTATTTGCTTCTAAAGTATTTTTAAAATGCATATTTTTGGAGTTTTAAATTCTTACTTTTTTAGTTTTTTTGTAAATGCAGTTGATTGAACTGTTCGAATGTGTATAGGGTTAAAATGTTGTAATATCCTTTAAAAGGTTACGTCGGAATGGCTGTAATTCAAGTGGCGTGTTTATCCGGCGCAGGCGCAGTGGCGGACGCAGCTTGCGCCGTGCCTTCCGTTATACTCATACACATCTATACATCGAAGATATTGATAAACTTTACGATATGTTAAGTTTATTTTTACTTTAACACGGCCTTACTTTATTACAACTTAAAATTGACCAATTTTGAATATCAGTTTCTAAAATAAATAAAGACGTCAAAGGGACGTTAAGAATAAATCACAATTCACACAATTATTCTGTCTTCGTAAGTTTATCGCCTCGTTCTCCGTACATCTTTGTTACATTTTCCGAGAAGTTAATGAACTTGAAAGCGCAAGGGTATTGTTTGATCGAAGCGCGCCTGCGTACATCACAATACTATGTCTTTTCTTTAAATATTCAACTATTAAATTCGATCGTTACTTATTTCAACCTTTATTTTCATCGTTTGTGTTTTAAAACAGTCAAATTCATCTTGGAGACAATAATAATGGGTTTCTTATCAAAGCATCGCAAAGAAGATATAGAAAAGTATCACGGAACTAATACATAAATAGTAATAATGTTATAGGCACATTTAAGATAAACACAGGCATCACGCTCGGTGTGAGAACGCGGCTAGTCTGCCGCCACAATTGTTGCGTGCGAATTATGTCTTTCAGAGTACCATGAGCTATGACCCTGCTACTTGAGATTTCTGATAGCCTGGTACTTACTGGCGCCATCGTATAAGTCTTGAGGAAACCATGTTTTTTTTTCAATTTTGTGACAGAAAATGGCGGCTTTTAAAACATTTTTTTTTAACATAACCGTGTAATGTAACAAGTTGGTAACGTAATGATTTATTTCTTGCAAATCAATGCGCATAGTTTACAATGAAACATAATAAATGTTTCATTAAAATACATGGATAAACATTCCATTCTTGGCCATTAATAATCTTGTCGTTTATACAATCGATTTTAATATAATCAAGACAAATAAGCCCATAAGGAAGCGATTATCTCAGAGTTGTTTTTCCATTCATGTCGGGTAAACTTTAAGAACACTTCAATATTGATTTTCTATCTTGAACTTTAAAATACATTGTAAACTCTTAAAGCAGGTTATGATTGCTTTTAAGGATCTTTTACAATGTACATACACGTGTAAAGATATGACCTTATACACATACGCTCTCCTGTTAAATATTCTGTTGGCAAATTGCCTTTGAAGGCTTCAATACAATGGCCTTTAAGGGCCAGAAGCAACCATTGAATAACAAGTCATTTCCCCGCTTGGATATAACAGTTACCTGCTTGGAAAAGTTTATTGTTTCCTTTGATTTGAACTAGCGATTGTGGTCATCATTGTGTACAATATATTTATGTTGCATTTTGCGATAAACATCAATTTTATTTTATGAGACAATTCCTTATTGCAAATAGGGGTAAAAAATATAACACCTAAATATAATAATTTAAAAAGGAACTGTTGCGAAGTTTTTT